TGCTAAGATTTTCATAAAAGGTAGCTTGTCTTTCCATAAAAGCAGCCATCATATTTTTAAAATCTTCACCACGTTCTCGATGTTGATAATCAATTTCAGCTAGCATTGCATAGCTTACCGAATCGAAACGCGATCGGACTTTTTCAGATTCTGAGGCACACACTTTTCCTTCCATCGATAATCGTTCATTTTCATGCAATTTCGATACCGCGGACTATCAAATTCATTAATTTATTATTGAACAAACACAACAAAACAAAATTTTAAATTTTTAAATGCCTTGCCTTGTCTTGAATTTTATTTAAAAAAATAATTATACATAATCATCAAAAATAACCTTATAGACGTGAAAAATATCAGGAGTTACAGCGAAAAGGCCTTTATAGCAATAAAGTGAATCTAATAATGGTTCTAAATCTCTTTTGGCACTTTCTTCATATTCATCCCCAATTTTGTGAAAAATATGAGCAGTTTCTTTCAATGCAGCAGTAACTTTGAGGTTTTCTGAAAAATTGCGGAACAAACGATAATCGATGGTCAACAGAGTATAAGACCTAATTATAAAAAATTTAAAACAAAATTCTCAAAGAACGGAAAATTAAATAGAAGATTTCGTGAATAGATTCACCCGCCATATCTAAAAAATAGCTCAGCTTGTTTCCTACTTTAATATGGTAATTGACCGAATAATTGAGAAATTTTTTAAAATTTTTCGAATCTTGAGCAGTCGTATTTCTATTCCGCTATTTTTTCACGCTTTTCCGAAATATTTTTAGTATTTCTGTGAACAAGAAAGTTTTTTTCTAAATTTAAAAAACAAAGAATTGAAATAAAATATGTATATATATAATATAAAATAATATAACGTCTGCCTTTGACAGGACTGAACCTATCATGTAAAAATACGGGTGGTTGCTGGTGACCCACCAGTAACTCTATCCCCAAGTGACTCTATGGTGAAAGGGTTAGATATTTTTAAAACGGCGTCCACGTTTTCCGACGCGCATGATACTTCCAGCCCGGCGATACATGCGATAAGAGCACAATCCGGGTTTAGAGCGATCCCAAGGCTGATAAATAAAATGTGCTCGCAAGCCAGGGTTACTGCTCGAAATCTATCAAGGGATACAGCTCTCTGCACACATGGCGAGGTTTTAGCCGTATCAGAGTGGAACGTCAGAACGCTTATGGATGTTGCGAGCCAAGCGATAACACCACCCTTTCTAAATATCATGTGGATATCACTTGCCTTTCAGAGGTTCGTCTTCCTCACTTTTGGTCTCGAACAATTATTAATCCTGGTACAGAGCAAAGATACTGGCTATATCACTGTGGTGCTTCGAATAACTCGGGACGAAATGGCGTAGCGATTGTCATGTCTGACAAGGCCCATTCCGCTTTGACTGAGTGGAAACCGGTAAATGGCCATATGGCCTATGCTCGTTTTAAGGGTGAGTTCAGCAATTTCTCGGTTATCAGTATCTATGCTCCAACTCTGTCGGCAGATGACCGTGACAAAGACAAGTTTTATGCGGAACTTCAACTGCTAACAAAGTTTCTACCGAAACATGACATGATCATAATCGGGGGAGACTGGAATGCTCGTGTAGGTCATAAACAGCTGCGATGACTTCAACAATTGGCAAATATGGCATCGGAAACCGGTGTGCCAATTAATTAAATCTTAGCCAGTCGCTGTTGGAAGAGTTCCGTACTAGATAGTCGTTCCTATCGCGAAGCTGAAACAGGCAATCTTCATGGATCTGACCATATTATGGTTCGAGCCAAGATCCGCATAGAACTGACAACTCACACAAAACAGCATCCCCCAAATTCCTTCAAACTAAACTATCTCAAACTAAAAAATTCGGGGATTTCAAGTGAGCGCATTTCAAACCGAATTATTGAAGCATCTCGATGATACAAATATCAATGATTTTTCTGGAATGGCAAATGAAAACTGGTCCCAACCAAAGAAATGTCTCCGAAAGCCAGCCACTTCCACACTAGGATATACTAGTAGAAAATATGCTAGTTGGGTATCGGAAGCAACTGTCCAATTGTCTGAAAAAGCTGCCAAAACACGAATGTGAGAAGATCCTGATGATTCGAAGAATTGCTATGACAACAGCAGCGCAGAAGTCACTACTGGACCTTAAAAATGAAGATGGCTCGATTAGGCGATAATAGGAAACTATTCCGCCTTCTTCATAAAGCAATTATAACTCGAGGAACGATCAGAGAAATGGTAAGGGACAGCAGTGGCTGTTAAGAGTATAAAGGATCGCCTCATAAAATGAAAGGAATTCTTTGAGGCCAACCATAATCATGATGCGCCATCTGTTGCCCCGGATATAATTAGGTTCGCCATACACTTGCAATTGCGGATCGCCAACAGACGAAGAAATAATTTCTGTCATCCATTAATTTAATACCAATAAGACTCCGGGAGAAGATGATCTCCGCGTTGAACTCTTCAAATGTTGTCCATCGTTTTTCATAACGCACCTTCAACAAATGAAATCTCTGGAAAAAAAATATTACCAGATGACTGGAGCAAAGTAATTTTGCTCCCAATTTTCAAGAAAAATAACAGGACATATTGCGACAATTGTCGAGGAATCAGCCTACTAGACATCACACCGAAGCTTCATTTTTACTCAATAAACTTATGGAAATACGAGATAGCAGGATGCACCCTAATCAAGCTGGTTTCAGACGAGGGTGCGGTTGTGCTGACCAGATATTCACGTTAAGAAGGATGTTGGAACATCGCTTAAAATATTTGCAACCCATCGTCACATGTAGCGGTGCTTTGCAGAGTGATGAGGGTGATCGCGATGGTGTTCCAAAGAACATCATTCGACTCATAAAGGCATTTTATGAGCGTACACGTCGGTCTGGGCATATGGGAAAGTGATAGACTCCTTCGAAATATGAACTGGTGTCTGCCAAAATTGTGTCCTTTCCTCTACAATATTCAACCATGCGATAGACTGGATAATGGACCCTGCTTGTCGGCACTCAAGAGATGAAAAAATCAATTCAGAGTATCGTATTACAGATCTTGAATATGTAATCCTTTTTGCTGACATAACGAAATACAAATAATGCTAAACAACGGCAACTGCAACGAGAATCGAACTCAGAGGACTCAGATTCAATGTAAATAAAAACAAAGTTTTTTCGCCCTAAGTTTTTTTTAAGAAGCTCATAAAATCTTCTTTTTATAAATCCATTGCTGGCGGAGGACGTGCCTGATTTTAAATACCTTGGCTCCACTCTAATATTAAATGGCCAGGCAAAAGATGATATTACAATTCTGGTTACGAGAAATGCATTTGGTTGACGAAACGTTTATGAAGCCGTCGTGAAATAACAATAAAAATCCGCATTTATATAGCCTTGATTCGTTCAATCTTATTATATCGCTGCGAGACATGACCAATGAGAGTGGAGGATATTAAAGAAGTCATCTGCTCTTGATCACTCGTGTCTAAGGTACATGTTACGGGTTCACCGAGTGGATAAAATCTCACATGATTGCATACACCTTCCTTTAAATCTACTTGCATTAACAGTGCCATCACATAGCGTCGGCTTCGCTGGTTATGACACGTTCTTCGTCGCCCTCCACAAGAATTGACACATATTTCGTTATTTGCTAAATCCTGTGTTGGGTGGCGTCGAGAGGTGGATCAATCAAGACCTGGACTAATACGGTCAGGAAAAATTTTGAACGTATAGGTGGACAATATATGAACCTAAAAAGGAATGACTTCTATTGCTGTCAACGATGGCATCAGACCGCGTCTCTTATCTTTGTAGGCATTGAAGCCAGCTTAACCAGTAATGGTGTGTTAGAAAAAGAAGAAATGAGAAATATTTTCTGTAAATCCTAAGCCACGATTCATTTATAGGTTCGAACTAAATTTACATAATATTGATATACTTAGGGTTACAGGAATTAAAATCTCACCACAAGATTTCATTTGCATTTTGATTTGAATTAATAATTACGACTTATATGCATTAATACAAGAAGCAATGCATTGGAATGAAATGAAATCTATTTGTAAATTAATCCTCTCGCAGTTCCTTCATCAGAAATATTAACTATTGCAATAAATTATTTAATGATGTTGTCTCTTTCCTCTGATCGTGTCATTTAAATTTAAAAAAAACTTCAACTTTTCACTAGAACAAATGCTGTTTTATTGCGCATTTAATTTCGATTTTATATTTCTGTATTTGTTGATAGCACATGGCTTCGTCCTACCTATCTTTTTGATTTCTCAATTCTGCCTTGCTTTAACTGAACAAAAAAATTCAATAGCCGCAAAAAAAGGAAATTTAAAAAACTAACGAGGCAATGCATCATGTTCAAATGAATGCCCAAGACCAGCAAAAGCAGCAGCCAATTTTTGCCAATTTGACTTATAAGCTGAAATTACTTATAATAGAAGTTTAATAAAAAAATTTAAAAAAATTGGTGAAAAACGAAATACAGAAAAAATTTTGTACTTTGATTTAAAATTTAAAAATAAAAAACGCACGACCGGCCAATCGCTTATGACGTTCAGAAATCCTTTCATATATATTTCGAACACTTTCGTCGAGACCACGCAAACAACGGGCAAATGATTCGATTTGATGTTCACTGAAAAAGCCCAAAAAATCGAAGATCACAGAAATAATTTCATTTAAGAAATCACTTCTTTAAAAAGCAAAAAAAATAAAAAATTTCCTAAAAAGAAGAAAACCAAGAGAAATAACTATAATGCTGATAGATAAAGAGTGAAGATGAATTTTCAAAGAAAAAACTTACACTTTATTACTATCCAATGGCTGCGCAGGAACTGTAACACAATGCAAGAAATTTCCTCCAACATATTCATCTTTTTCAGCTTTCCTTTTACCATTTTTCCATTGTTTTTCATCAGTACACGTTAAAAAATGAATCCAGACATCCGATTTACTTAACACTGGATGTCTACATATTTTATTTACCCATATTTGCAAGATACTTTTCCGATGTTCAATCAAATCTTCTTCATAACGCCCTGAAATCTACTGCCAAAATACAAGGAAAATATCTTCAAATATTTCCAGGCACCAAAAAATAAGAAGGCGTGAAGACATACGATATTGCATTTTATAAAATTTGAAGAAAGTTCAAAATTTTCATAAATTAACCGCACAAAAATATAACAAATTCATGGATGACAGAAAAATTTAGCGAAAGAAAATTTTAGAAATCACCTGCAACTTGCTTTTCAGGTAATGGTGGAATGGGTATGAGGATATATTTCGCAGACATCTGTTCGTGAAGCCAATCAAAGTGTTTGTATCGACGTGATACCTTTCAGTAAAATTAATAAATACTTTTCCATAAAGTGATCATCACTATATAAATAAGTAGAATAAGGATAAATTTTAAGAAAATATACATAAATAATTGAATAATACAAATTCATGAGCAAAAATTACCTGTATACCGCTAAGTGATGAAGTAACACTATAAGCGATAAAACTCTTTAATCCTTTAAGCTTTGATTCCTTTTTCGGTTTATCAACAATGCACGTGTAAGATTGAGTAATTGGAAACCACTCAGGTCCAGAAGAAGACATCTGATCAAAAATTTTAACAAATAATTCAATTTTTAAGAAAAAGAAATTTTTTCAAGAAAAAAAGCGAATGACAAATTTTATTTGAAGCAACTTTAACTCATTTTCCAATCAAGAATCAAGAAACCAAGTTAAATCAATTGAATGAATATAGCGAACATTTAAGAAATAGCATTTGAAGGAAAAAAAAATTCATACAATGATTTCATGATGTTCATCTGGCTTCGCTATCATTTTCGCTGTGCCCAATAAATAACTTTCCATACCCGATTTGACAAAATTTGAGAAACTTCAAATGTTTATAACTAAGCTTAGACCATAATAGGCCGCAGCAAAATCAAAATATTAAAAGCAAATATACTTTTAAACTTTCCATCATTATTATTTTCCATAAAAACAGCGAAAGTCATACCATTAAAAAAATGAATAAATGTAATGAAGAGCTATTATAAATTAAGAAATAAATCTACGAATGGCTACGATAGAAAATCAACATTTTTGCCTTTTTTACAAATTTTACCGATTGATATTTTTCATCCTCGTAGCAACTTGCTTAGCTGTTATCATTTCAGCACCAGCGGATCGACTACGTGATACAGTGGTTGCTCCCGTCTCATTCCGCACCACTAAATCCTAAAAAATGAAGAATTCTTAAAAATCACTATTTATTAATACTTTTAAAGTATTAGTAATTCGCATGCAAATATAACGTCTATACCAGTCTTTAAAAAATATTTATTTTAAATATTCGTAAATAAATAAAAACAAAAAAATCATTTTCATGCTTCTGCAAATAAAAAAATAATAAGCATTGTTCCAGGATGGAAAAAAACCAAAAAAGGAACTAGATTTACGTCCAACTAATTTAACTAATGGAAATCTATTTTTAAAAAAATATTTAAAGACTTAAAGTAACATTTAAAAAAATATGAGGCAAAAATCTGAACGAAATTTTTCATTGTTATATAACAATTATTGACGATTTTTTTTGCTAAAACTTGATCCTATTCATCCAATCTAACACACATTCTATTATTAAATGTACTGATGAGACTCGATTATTCGATTAAATTAAATTTTTTTATATAATATTAAAATCACTTTAGAAGAAATCTATAAATAATTTAAGAATATTTAATTTGATAAATTTCAATTCATTTTATTTATTTATCGAATTTATCTACTTGAAATAAATTTCAATTTATAAGTGCAGAAATAAATATTCATACGACAATAACACAATAAAACAAGAATAACTATGAACATGAAGCATCAGCAATTATCATTTAATTTAATGCACTAAAAATTTCATAAAATTTCATGCATAGAGATTTTGCTTTGGCAGTATTCAGTTTTTTAAAAACTGATTTATGCAATTCCTTCTTCTCTTAATACCTTTCACCATTACTGGTTAAGCTGACTCCAGTGGCTACGAGGGTAAGACGTCCCAAAGCTGCTCAATCCGACCCCATCGGTAGTAGTATTGTAATAGAAACTATTCCTTTTTCCATCGTTTAAGTGCATATATCGCTGGTACCCTTATCCGTTCAAAATCTTTCCTGAATGTATCAATCCAGGTTTTGATTGGCCCTCCTTGCTTTTGAAACGCCACATAGGGTTTAGCAAATAAAGAAATATGCTCCTGTGGTTGAAGACGAAGAACATGCCCTAGCCAGCAAAGGCGACGCTCTGTGATAACATTATTAATACAGGTGGTATTTGAGCGATGATAGATACAATCATTCGATTTTATCCACTCGACAATCTATAAAATATATGTTAGACATGAGCGGTCAAAGGCCGATAGCTTCTTAATATCTTCCACTCTCACTGGCCATGTTTTGCAGCCATATAGCAAAATCGAGCGAATTGCAGTTATACGGACGCGGATTTTCGTCAATATGGTGATGTCGTGACGATTCCATAAAGGCTTCATCAACCGGAAAACATATTTCTAGCTGTCGTTATCCGAGTTACAATTTCACTTTTTGCCTGGCCATTTGAAATTAGAGTGGATCCAAGGTATTTATGCTATTTTTATCTAAAAAAAATCAAAACCACGCTTATTCCGATGTGAAGCCATTCTTTAACATTAGGCAATTCCGTTTTGGGTGACTCCAGTGAACATTAGATGAGACCCTATTCGCCAGAAGGTCAGTAAGGAATATTGATGCCAAAAAATCACCCGATTCCTTTAATTAAAAAATTATTCCAGTTAGGTATGAGGGAATAAAATGGCTCAGTGGGTTGTTCAATTCGGAACGACGATGCTAAGGTTCTACTCCCCATAGGAACAAAGCTATCTAAAAATCTGATGATGGCGATTCAATCCTAAGGGACTCCAAGGCATATTTGTCTTGTACGACAAGCCAGCGGAACGAGTCTAACGAGTAATGGTGAAGGCTCTTTAAAAAAATTTCATTCAAGAGATCGAAATAAAAAATTTTGACCTAAATCTAAGAAGTTAAGTAGCGTATCCCACAGCCCTTTTGTAGAGCTATTTTTTTGCTAAAATTTTACCAAAAAATTATTAAATAAATTATCGACAATGAATAGAAACTACAAATCATGCCTTTAACGATAATGAAATCCCCTTAAAACCACCTTCCGGACATTTATCTGTTTCCGATTCTCTCCAGAATGCGTTGTAGTTTCTTCATCTGTAGAAACATCCGTTCTTGAACCACTAGTACCACGAGAATGCGTATGTGATCCCAATGTTGCACTCCCAATACTCCTCCCAATTTTTCGGTTAATTTTATCTTTATCCTTAAAACAAGATCAAATTTCTATCAAATCTATCACTAAGAAGAAATTTTTATCACTAATATTTGTAAAAAAATGGTGAATAGAGGGAGATCAAACCACTAAGAAGAAACTTTTGTCGCTAGTGTACCTGCAAAAAAAAGGTAACTTTCAATCTAATCCACCAAATCTGTTACAACAAATAAGTTGCAAATAATTCTAATCAATTTGAAGAAGATATTAATATAAGTACAGACATGCAACTGAAACAAGTCAGGATCGATGGTACTCGACGATCTCGTTCGAGCGAACAACATTCTCACCAGTTAGTATCACTTTCAATGTTTTGAATGATTAAGGTGAAAATTAGCCACAATTGCACTAATGTTTTCCAAGAGCAAAAAGCTAAAAATGGACGAATAGAAATAGGCTCCGAGACGCCAGTCGCAATCCGAAATTTCATAAATAACCGTTATGACTAGCAGTAATAGTATCGAATGAAGAAGTGAATAACAATCTCATAACCCATTAATACGAAAAGATAAATCGTTGATAATTTTCACTGAACTGAATCTCGCAAGCAAAATAAGTCAATCATCACATAATAGAATGTTAGAATTCGTTAAGCAAAACGAATTTAAACGAATTCTTTATGCTTTGATTAATGCTTGATTAATGCTGCTCATTTTCTCAATATCTTTTCCTTGTTATCAAGAATCCAATTCGAATTAAGAGGAAAAAAAAAATCATCTCCACAAATCAATAGACTGATAATAATGACTAAAACAATTGGTGACGATGAAGATGATTAATGATGGTAATGATGATGGTGACGACGATGGCACAAAATTTTTAAATAAAAATAAGAGAGAGAAAGTTATCATAATAACAGTGAAATTTCTCGAAATCAGCGCTTTTAACAGATTTTGCTAGCATTTATTTCCATTTCTTATCATATAAAAAAAAAATTTTTAAATTTTTCAAGGATCGATTAATTGTATAGCTTTCCTTAAATCTTTTTTATCGTCTCTTTATCCTAAAGAATCTCAATAATCGAAAAAAACTTATAGAATCAAACTGAAAATTTTGATCATTGAAAACATATTATAAAAATTTTGATTATATAAAATATATTATATATTATACATTATAAAAAAACATTTAGATTATTTTATGATAAGTTTGATATGCAGTCATATTTCATATGTTAATTACTATGGTTTATTATTGAGTTCCTCCATCAACTACGGTTATTTAAAAAGTTACTAAATAAAATTTGATTCTATAAGTTATTATAGGATACTACTAATAATGCACAATACTTGACCATCTGCTTGTACTCTTCAAATTAACAAGTTTAATAAAATTATTAAATTTTAAATCATTCAAAATATTAAATTATAATAAATATGAGAAAAGTCATAATACAAGTGAATAGCATATAGAATCAATATCATTCGTAAAAAGACATTATCATGATTTTTATAAATAAAATTAATAAATTAAATTAAGAAATCACATCACATTTTAAAAAAATGTTGATTTAACAAAGAACATTGCTGACAAAAAAAATTTCAGGAAATTAAATAAGAATACTTCAACGTTTTAGTTTATCTAAAATTCTTCGCAATTTCATAAAACTCTTCGAAGGAAACGAAAAAAACTTTGAAAAAAACAGAAGAAAATTAAAAATCTGCAAACAAATTCTAAATTTCTTTCGATTTAAAACGTAAAACAAATAATCCGCAAAAAGATTTTTTCCAATAAACGTTCATATAATTTAGACTTTCATGAATGTTTTTATAAAAATTAAAAAAAACTTCAGCCGCTCATTAAATCCATTTTTATAGAGGTTAGTATGAGTTTTCCTATTATAAATTCATTCATTTGAAATGATCAAAAATAATTATTATTAGTTTTCCTTTAAGATTTAAAAAATGGATCAAAAATCTAAAATTTCTTGAAATATTCCCTTAAAATGATAAAAAACAAGATAGAAAAAAAACTAACATCTTCATCATCTTCAGTCCAATCATCAAAATCTTCACATAATGCCACTGCTGTGGCATTTTCATTTTCATTTTCATTAGTCGTTCTTACTGGTTGATTCTAAAAGAATAAATATAAATGACTTCACTTATTTTGATTTGATTTGATTTGATTTCACTGTTCTTATATCTTTCATAAGTCATTATATATTGGTGTTATAAATATTTGCCAAAATTAAATGGCAATACTTTGAAGATGATCAATGATTTATGAACTAGGAATCTGAAAAAACAGTTTAGTTATCGGATTTCAAGCTGCTAAATTTTTGTATTCCAAATATTCTGCCAGTATGCATGAGATGAATTAAATTAAAATCAAAACAAATAAAACCTGAGTAGTCTTATGAGCTAGGGCTGGTGGTATTCCCCAATCGTCATCATTAACCGGTGGTAAGGAATAGGCTGGTAAGTATGATGACGGATGATCATCCTGCAAATTATAATAAAAGAATTAGGCAGGTCAATAGAAATAATTTTAAAGCTTTTGCACTATGTATTCAAAAAAGTACTGATCAAAAAAGTACTACGTAATATTTTTTGTCAGAATTTCTTTCGTATTATGCTCAATGATGAACAATGATGATTGAAGAAAATTTGCTTGAATTTGAAAATAAAGAACCAGATACAACCAGCAAATCAAAATTTCAATCCCAAGTGACATTTTAACGAAGAATTTTGGCAGACGATGAGGTGAATTTGGAAAATATCTAACATCAAATTGTAAAAATGAAGATATTTTGAAAAGAACAGGAAAAAGGAAGTTTATCTTCATGGTTCGGGAAAAGATAACAAATTGACAGCAGATCAATCTGCGATTTACTAGAATTTGTAACGTAATATTCAAAACATCCAAAAAATCAGAATTGATAATCGTTTTCATTTATATCCAGTAGACATTAAAAAAATCAGTAATGATTCTAACCGCCAGAAACATTTATCGGTATATTTCAATTTAATTTAAGAACTGATAATTTGGGTTTAATTTGAAATTATCTAATAAAATAAAAATAATAAAAACTTCAATTGGAATTGAATTGCATTAAATATTAAACTTTGCTTTGGTTTTGAAAATGAGGAAATCCTATCAAAATTTAGATAAAAACGATTAACACCAGCGAATTAACACCATTAAAAAACCATTTTATATGCATAGAATCCAGCAATACATGGATTTAGGGCGTGGAAAAAAACAACTTCGGCTGGCCCTAGGCATGGATCCCAAGTCTTATATTAATAACGAATGAAGCCAACCAAACCAGCAATGGTGCCAGCAGTCAGAATAAAAAACAAAAAAACTATAATCAACATAAAATAAACCTTAGCATAAAGTAAAAAGAAATTTGGTTCATAAAAAAATTTCCAGTTTGATTATTATAAAAAATACCAAAAAATAGAAAATAAAACGCTCACCATCGGTGGCAGATTAAAACCGACAATTCTACTGCAATTAACATTTCGCCGACATTTGACTTTTCCATCATTATTTGACTTTGGTGATGAACAGATCACCGTTGATCGACTGAATGTCGATGGGTTTAATGAATTGTTAAAAATCACATTTAAATTTTGTTTTTGATTTTCATTATCGTCATCACTAGTTTCAACTGTTATACGTGCAAATGATACTTTCGTTGATGTATATTTTTCAACTGTTTTTCGTACTTTTCCAGAGAATAACATCTTTAAGATAACGCTACTATCGTTTCAGTGATTATCTTCTCTGTTAATTTATTAATTTTGACGAAATATTCGAAAAACGGTAATTGCTAATCGTGAATTCATTGAAATCTCCAGTATCTACGTCGCATGAAATTCGCTTCAATCACAAGAATAGTAAAATATAATTTCAAAAAAACCCCAGCCAAAAACTATTCCGCTATCGCTAAAGCATTTGGAAAAATCCCGAATTTTTTAAAACCATGAGAAATAGTAAAATCAAGCAAAAAATAATAAAGTAAAAGAAATTATAATTATGCGCAGCCATAAGTTAAGACAACTAATAATTCCCTCAGATTTAATCAAGAGTATAAGAGAAAGCAAAATAAAGTAAAGACAAATATATGAGTATAGAAAATTTAGCTTTTTGGTGGATTAGAATGAAACGAATATCAATAGGGAAAGCTGCTGAATAAATCTATCCTTTTCAATGAATCTAGTATATTGTATAAAAATGAAAAGAACCCACATTAAACTGATTATCATCAAAGCTAAAAAAACTTAATTCATCGATCTCCTTCAATACTCAATTTTAAACAATTGAATAAAATCTTATTTAAACACAATGAATAAAAATTTGTCTTCAAAACTGAGATTAACAATAATCTATGAAATCATCCACTATTATAATAAAATTAACCATTATTTATTAGAAAAATTACGTCGAATAGAGGAATACTTAATGAAACGTTGGGTAAGTTGGATATGTGTAAAATCTGGCAATTGAAAACTTTCTTAACTAAATCTATTCATATCGAATCCGCAGAAAATCCGCTGAAATAACTTTTATTAAACAATTATTCAATTTTTTTTTATAATTTTTATAGTTAATGCTGGATTTTATCAGAAAATAGACGTCAATTTTTCTAAGCTACAGAAATCAGCTTAATGAAAATTCACTTTACGATGTAAAAGGATGAAAATCTCTCGATAAAAGGCAATTAAATTGCTTAAAATATATTAAAGATCCTATAATCAGTCGAGAAAGAATCGAATAGCTAAAATAAGCTCCAGAACTGGGCGAAAAATGCAAAAATGCATAAAATTTCGAAAAAAAATTCTTATTTTAATATTTGAAAAGAAAGGATAAATGATCGATTGTTGGCCTCAGTGGAATACGATGACTAATTGATATAACCAATCTTCTTTCATAAGAATCCACAAAAATAATTTAATTACAAAGAATTTAATAAAGAATTAAAGAAGAAAATAAGAAAAACCAAAATTGCCTTTGCCAGTCACAAATATATATCTCAAAAAAAATTGACAATATTCAATAGCATAATGTCAATCAGCAGTTAATGAATATAAACAATTTTTAAGAAATGGAATAAATACATGTTTAAAATTAAATTAAAACCTGTCATTAAAAATCTCTACAACATTATCTCTAGTTACATCTCAATATCTAAGATCACCTTTAGATTATTACTTGAGATCAAATTTTTAGATTATTGCCTTAGCACTTCTTAAGAATAACTTTTAAAAGTAACATGGAGTTTGTATGACGGCTGTGAAAATACTTCGTACCAGCAAAAAAAAACCATTATAAATTTTCTTATATTTAATACTTGATATAGAAACAAGGATGGAAATGAACATTTTACTTCAGAAAAAGGAGCAGACGTAATTTTCGTCACATAGCTTTCCGGAAAGAGACCAACTTGCCCTTTGGAATTTCGGCCTTCAAGCCAACCGCCTTCTACACCCTAAAAACAATGATGAAATTTTTTATTTTTCAATTATTCCAAAAAAATCGAAAATGATTTCATCCGACGAGAAATTACTGAATGTTTTGAAAGATAATAATAATGCTATAAATAAAAAATTACAAAAAATCAAAAAATCAATATAAAATAATTTTGAAAAAGTTTTCCAATAGAGCTTTTCTATTTATTCCAAGAAAAAGATTAACGATTATTCCTCCAAAATTTTTTTCTCCTTTCCGGAAAAGCAGGAAAGTGATTTTTCGTGAATTTCAATTTATAAAAATCTATTTTAAAAAATTATAAATATAAAGTTAATAAATAAATATTATGCAAAATTAGAAGTGTTAAAACGTTAAAACTGAAGCAAAAACCTCTCGAATGACGGTGAGAATCTCGTTAACTGAAATTGATAATTCACCAGAGTTTGGCTCAGCGTCGAATGCATATAAAGCTCGAACTTGTGACATTCGATGACGAGATGCTCGATTGAAAAAATCTGAAATAAGAATAAATTTGCGAAAAAACAAATAAAAAAAGTTTTAACGAGACAGAAAACGAAAACCAAGAGATTAAAGGAATTTACCTAAATTTTTTATCAAAATAAATTAGACGGGTGCATAAATTATTGATCTGCTCAAATTAACCATGGCAAAAAAATTATCTGAACTGAATATTACCGAATAATAAATATTATTGTTTACGAAAGCAAAAAATAAAAAACGTTCAAATATTCGAAATGAACGGAAAACAAAGCAATCAGCAAAAATGAAAAAATTATCCATTTTTTCTCGTCCATTTTTCAATGAGAAAAATGGAAAATTTACGCTGCTGGAAAACTACTTAAAAAATATTCAAATTGCAAAATTCAAATCGGAATTGCGAAAAAAATATCATAAATCCTTGGTTAAAAAAGCGTTTATCACTTAATAATTTGAAAACAATGGGGAAAAACAAAACCGCTAAAAAATTTCCCTGTTTTAGCTGTAGAGTAGTAATAAATCACGGCCATGTGGCCCTTTACCTTATTTTACGGCACTCTCCCTGTTTTTTTATTAGGTGGCTATAGAATCTTAACAATGACGTTAAATACATTATCAAATAACTGAGAGTGGTGATAACACTGGCAGATTACAATGATAGAAGCTATTGGTAATTACCTGCCATTATTATTAGCAGTAATAATAGTAATATTATTGTAAAAATATCGAATACATTGCTTTAACCATTAATGAAAAAAACAATAATTATAAGAAACAATATGAAAAACTGACGATAGCCGAGTGGTTGCTGCTCAGTGATTATTAGCAATAAATTAGGTTAAAGGTTATGTTTAGTAAAATAATACGACTACTAATAATAATGATGATAAATAAATATAATAAATAATAATAAATATAGCGAGCAAATATAGCAATCACATTAATAAGCAAACAAAACAATTATTATCAATAAACAGCAACGATAAATGAAGAAATTCGGATGGTGAAGAATATATTACGGACGAAGGAAGATAAATAAATGAAAGGACAGTGGAATTGGATTGGGCTGGATTTGACGACGTAGCCATTGTGAGTGCGGTTCTTGTTTCGTGATTCATTTACACCTCCCGTGCTCAGATGCGGCTCCGCAAATCCGAGCGTTTCACAGCCGAGTATTCACTTGTTAAAAGTTGTTCGACAATTTTCAGACGATTTGGAATATAAAACTTGATTTGGTTGCAGTTCATAGTAAAGCGAAACTAAGATACATACAAAGAGGTAATTCTTTTCCGTTCGAGGGCGATGGAATTTATTTCTATTTGTATAAGAAAACACCAGAACGACTTTTCTTTTTCCTTTTCTGGATCGCATTTTCTAGTTTTAAGAATAAACAAATTATTGCTATTCAATGTATTGAAATGAATAGAAGCTTTGAATTATTTAAGTAACTATATTATCGGAAGTCGAACGCGTTTACAATTCGAGCAAAATTAAATTTCCGCAATAAAAATAAGAAAATGTAATAAATAAACGAATATAACTGAAGGTGTATCCAAGAAAATCTTCGAGAAAACAAGTAAAGTAAAAAACTCAACTAAAATTATTTTTAGTTACTCTTTTAAGTTATTCAGTACTTTATGATTTTATTTAAGTTGCACGAGGTTATTAAAAAATTGGTTATTGTAATTAGAGTCTCGAGGGCTGGGTGCTTAAGATCCATCTGTTCTTCCATTCCCAAGTGACTACCTAACAAAAATGTTGCCAGCAGCCAGTGGAGAGAGAAACTTAGTCAGATACGTTACCAGTTAAAGGGCAATAATCTGTTGAAATGCTGATCGGAACAACAAGTGTGCTCACTCAAGGAGGAAGGAATTGATGATACTCGAACTTAAGATCGAATTGACTGCTCTTTATTTTGATGGGAGATGGAAAGTCGAAATAAGTCAATTCACCTTATTTCTTGCATCTTGAAAATGGCTTCATTTTTCATTTACTCACCAAAATTATAAGTATTCTCTATGAAAAACCATTAATAACAACCAAATGGCAAATTTACTGCAGTATAAACTATAATAAATGGTCGATTATAAATGATCATTTGTGTCGAATCCAGTAATAAAATTTATTGTGAATCACATTAAAATGAATCAAATAAAATCAGATCAAAATTAGCGTCAGTGATGTTACCATTCTGCTTTAATAATTTTTTACAAATTTCAGTTTAAAAAAATCTCTCGTCGATGTTTCAAAATGTAATAATAATACAATATACAGAAATAAATAAAACCATCGACAGGTAAATGAGTGCGACGCAAAATTTATTCGACAAAAAAATTAGAAATAAAAACTGAAAATATGAAAAATTGGCTTACAGACCAAAAAGCGATCAAGAAGTGGGTTAGTCGACTCGTTTCCAATGCTTAGCTTTTAGCTTTAAAGCTTTTCATTTCTATAAAAATTATTGAATTTAAGTCATTTCATAACTCAGTTCATAAGCCACCGGCTTTTTGCCAATCCTTCGATCATTTTAATGTCAATTAAATTGAAAAATGTAGCTAATATTAATCATTTCTGGCCAGATTGCCTGTAAGATCATTGATGATTTTGCCAAAGGATCCAGGGAGAAATATAAATGAGTCCCAAGTACCGCATAGATCCTTAATGATATGCTTATCTATTTTTACCAAAGGTAGAACCGATACTCGTGTGATCTAATAAGAATATCAAATGGGACCAATTTTTATGGTTTTCATATTTAATATTTGCTGAATCCTATAAGTCCTAAAAATTCACAAATCTTATTCACAGAATCTTGCAAATCCGTAGAATTAATGCAACACAATATTTTATTATTCAAAATTGATTTTAGTTTTGAAATTTATTAATTTCTTATTTTTTCTATTTGTTTAGAAACAAATAAATAATTTCATTGGTTAGAATAATTTCTGTTTTTTTATTCAACATTTGTGATCGCGAATAATATAAAAATTTCCTGACTTTTCAAATTATTTACAGCCACATGTTTATCAATTTGATTACTTTGATATCATTATTACTGCGAAGTTTTTTTTGAAAAATTTTGCAAAACTATTTTGTTAACATTTCTCTACCTTTTTTTCGAATAGCACTCACCATTTCTGATTTGTATAGCTCTATTGGTTAATATAATAAAACCATTTCACCACAGGATGACTAAAGGGAAGAATTATAGATACTCAACACCACAGAAATGATCATAAGAGGGTCGACTGAAAGGAACATTTTTTTATGGAGGATCAGTCCAAGAAAAAGATTGGAGATTCCTAATATGCAATATCTGTAATAAGAAACAAATTTATCCATCATCCTATCAAACTTGTTGCCGCTATCAAACTTATTTTTTATGATCCATTACTATTCTTTTTTTAAACCTAATTTTTTGTTTTTTCCGTTTAGGCACTTGAAAAAAAGGAATTAATTAATTATTAAATATTTAATTAGAAAATTCTCATTAAAAATTCTATTTATGATATTAAACTATGCAATGAACAAGTGGTTCGCATTTGCTAATTAGGCTAGGCTAGCTGCAATAGCTGTTATTGGTTAGAAATTTTCGCCATGAAAGCATGGAAACTAGCGACAGGGTGAGTCGTCAGCACCATCAGTGATGTATCATTGCATGCTAAAACATAAAACCCCTTTCAGACATAAATTCAATATGAGTATTTATATCAGGGAGGCACTGCCAATGGGAAGAGCTCGAGGTCACGATGGACGAACCAGACTCTTGTAAAAATTTCATATAAATTTCAAATAATTGGATTAAAAATAATCGTATAGGAAACCCTTAACTGATTTAATTCTTTTGTTACTGGAGAACTGGAAAAGTAAAAAAATCTCAATCACATGAGCATCAGAAAATCCTTCTTATTTATATGCAAAATTTTTTAAAAAATAAACTTCAACTCTAAACTTTTAGCGTTTAAAAAAATATATTTAATAACCATTTTAAAAAGCTTAAGCTTAGTTTAAAAGCTATAATACGCAAATTCTCGGGAAATAACAAAAAATCTAAGGTGGTGGTCGATTGAAAGGAATTTACAAGAAAAAGATTGGGGATTCCTAACATGTATGCATATAAGTAGCCACAGCTACCACAGCTAATCTATATATTATCTTAACAGATCTTAATACCTAAAATGGATGGCGTTAAATGAAGATGCCCAATCAAATCTGAATTAATATAGGAACAAGACAGAGTGTCGAACAGAGTAATATAAATATAACCTTATCATACAGAAAAGAAGGGCTTTTGTTATTTTAATTATGGTATTGAATAGGGTCACCAATCAAGGAGCTCCCTAGCATACTGGCCTAGTGCGGAAAGCCAGCAACGAGTTTAACCAGTTAGAGCACTTAAAAAAAATTTAATAGGGTAGCTTGAAAACGCGCCAACTCTATAGCCAGTAGAGCCAATTAAACCAGTGTTAGAAAAGGATATTTCCTCAGTAGAGAACTTAAATCCTGCTACTCATCCAGGATATGTAAAGCTATGCATTCAAAAATATTCTATGTCCAAGAATAACGGGGAAAGATAAAAAAAGGAATTATAGCACTTTTGAGTGGCCACCTTGATGCATATTTCACTGTGGATTGGATGTGAAGAAACTATGTCGATTTCTTGAAAAAACTATTGGGAACACAGGCAATCCTTGCACGCCCATCTCTATACTCTACCATGGGACTAACATTCGCTTAGGTTAAAAGGTTTTAAGAAGTTTTTGTGCAAGGTGATACAGCGAGTATCTATTTGGAAGTACCAGTGTTTTAAAGTGGACAGTTACTCTGGAAATGTGAAATAAGTGATTACCGTTCATCCCGTGATTTTCTGGTTTTCTGGTCAAACTAGCTCAGCTGCCAAGCTGGCTGTTTAAAAGATTTAAAAATTTCGTAAAGGATTCGCTTAAAGAGTTTGGTAAGGTCCCAAGCACTCGAATTCTTAATGATAGGTTCATTACTATCGGAGCGAAGGTCCGAATCCTTACAATATTCTCAAGACAATAATCTAAGCCAAGGATCTTTGCCTTGGTACCACGAGGGTTGAAAAGTGAAGCAGGATTGAGAGAAAGAGAAATAAATTAGACAAATTCTATTTTTTTAAGAGTCCTCACCAATACTGGTTAAACTCGCTCTACCAGTTTGTCGCACTGTACAAATATGCGCGGTAGAAACATAAGTGAGTCCTCCGGCATCCGGACTGAACTTGAGCTTAAGTCCTGCAACAGAAGTTCAGCATCGGAAGCACCCAGAACTGAGCCATTCTATCCCCAAGTTATTCGACTAAGTTAGGTAATTAGATCTTTTTAAAGCTGGAGAAAATTGGATTTATTCCACAACCGTTTAAAAATAAAAAAGATGGTTGAATTATTTAAACCAAATGCGTTTATCTTTCCATCGCCACAATCGTTACAAGGAAAAGAAATGTTGCTTCGATTAAGACCGAGCATCATGGTTTTTTCTAAGAACGCTCATCATTTTTGGTTAGGCGCACTCCCACCGAACAGATTCATTGTACCTCCGAGGTTGCTTTACAAGAACAATCTTGCCGTTAAAACCGAGTGGTGCTGTGCACCCACGTACCAAATACCCTCTTACTAAAAAATCGCACCATAATTTGGTTTTATACTCCAACCAAATCGAAAAAAA